GACAGCCCCACGGCCCGGCCCGCTCCCTCCATGGCAGCACCGCAGGGCAGGGACCACTTCAGGAGCAGCGCGGCTGCCTCTCTTTGTGTCTGTGGGCCTATGTCAGGTGCTGCTGTGCTCAGCTCTTGGTTACGGTGCTCAGCTATTGATTATGACTACGTATTTGTTAATTTCTGTGCAAAAATTGCAAGAAACTAACTTTAATTTGTAAGGGTTATTAGGTACTGGTAGAGCAAGTTGTTCAGGGGAGCGTACACCTTTCAGAAGTGCGGAAAGCGGCATTTTGGTTCATGCTGGTGTGGCTTGTGTCCCTGGACTTGGCAAAAGCTAGTGGCAGTTACCTTCAGGCACCATAATTAATTTCTTCTTTAGGCTGGAGTAATGAGCAGAAGCAGGTTTTGCTATAAAATCATCCAGCATTTACTGCTACCGCTCCCCCGCCATCTTCTGTGTGAGATCTAAGGAAGAGATCCAGTTTGTCTCCTGTTGGTAATCGTGGCTTCTTGGCAGCAATAAGTACAGAGAGACACAGCTTTGGGTCTAAAAGTAAGCAGATGGAGGTATTATGAGAAATTGTGTGTGCTTGAGTGGAGTATTTTAGTTAAATTTAACTTTGCCATCTTTATGTCAAAATGCAACCGAGTTTCTGTATTTCCTGGTCTTCAGAGAGCAAATTCAGCAGAACTCGGCTGTCATGGAAGGACAAGTGATATCCTAGGGCAACCTTCATACTGGATTAACAAGTGCTATTTTGATATCTCATTTTGTGTTTAAAAAAGCAGGCTTCTAAAAGGATTTGTCATGCACTTGTAACTTTGTTTTTAATACAGTCACCCATGTCTTCTCTACTTCACTGTAGTGCCAAATAAGCAATGGTCTAATCTCTTCAGTCAAAAGTAATGTGAACAGTCACCATCTGAGTCACCTCACATTGATAAGAATTTAAATGTCTTGAAAGCAAGTAATGCTGGGTTTTGTTTGTTTAAAAATATAGCGCTTATTCCACCTGTTTCACTGGCAGTGCAAAAGCTAGAAACCCGTGGTCTGAACGCTAATTGTAAATGTTAGGGGAAATAGGAATGAGTCATGTTATAAAGCTGATAACTTATGTTGGTGTGCGTAGGATGGGGAAAATGCGTCTGCTGAGGAAAACGCCGAAGATGTAGAGGCTCCATCTTCATCCAGAAAAGCATCTGGGAAATCCCAAAGTCAGGATGAAACTGATGGTAAATGTTAACGTAATAATTTCAGTGAAAAATGTACTTAAAAGGTCATTGAAAGCATTTGCTCTTTGCTAGCTGACTTTCTATAAATACCTGGCTGCTTCTTTTGAACCTGTGGGTATTGAAGTGCATTGTTAGAATGTATAGCTCTGTAGGATGTTCCGAGTTACAGCCTGGGTTTTAACTTTTTTCAATGTTTTTAAGGGGCTGGATCTGGCCAATTGGCCATCTTTTTCTGGGAAACCCTCCCCTCCTGGCTTCTTAACCACGTGGTCTTAATTATTTACTCTCTCTAAAGTTACAAATAATTTGAAGTTTTTAACTTATCTCAAAAAGTCTTCCACCTGTTTTGTTTTGGCTTTTTTCCTGTTCATCTCTTTGCTAGTCTTTTGCTGAGACTTGAATGTTTCAGACTATTTGATTCTACTGTGTGTGTTGCCGCCTTCCCCTTGTCATCCAAAGTGAAATAAAATAGCTAAAAAGAGGAGTTTCTTTTTTTCTCTGTCTTTGTGTTTTTTCTCCAGCTCAGTTATCCTGTTTAGAGTGCCTATTTATTTCTCTCCTTATTTTCTGCTGGATATACCTAGCTACAGATTCCCTGGCTGGCTTTCTTTGTGCATTTACTGGGATGGTGGTATCTCCTTAGGTGCCGTAGCAAAATAAGCTTAACTTCCTTGGGGTTCCTACATAGTGAAAGGACTTGCAGGAAGTGGTAGGAGCAGCATTTCTCTCTTTAGTTTGCATCAGTGCTTGTTGATCCCGTGCCTCAGGTTCTGGATTTGAGCTTGGGATTTAGAGTGCTGCAGTCTGTTTCAGACACCTACTCTTCAGAAGCTGTACTCCATGCACCAGTCAGGGCATATTCTGGTGGGATTGCCAATGCTGTGAGATAGCAAAGTGCAATTTTTGATCTCTTTGTGTTGGTTCTTAGACTCCTCTTGCTACTTTCACTGCAAATTCTCATCATTCTGTTTGGGTTTTTTTTTTTCTTTTCTTAAACTTCAAAAATAGGCCTTAAATTGTCTCACCTAAACTGTGTGTCAGTGGTGCCTCGTTTTTGAAAGTATGGCCAGACCTCATCCTGGAAGGACAGAAAATGAACACTGGAAGTGTGGTTGGAGTCAGATATCTGTGGTTCCTTATTGACCCCTTCTTTTTGCTGATGTCTCTGAAATACTTCCAAGCTGCTCTTTTCTGCTCCGTATTCTACCCAGTCTGTTACATGTTTTGTCATGCACGTCATCTTTGTCTAAGAAAAAACATATCCTGATAGATTTGTGTGATAGTGTTACTTCCGCTCTTACTACAGAGAACACAGAAGTCTCAAGAGCAATCAGAATCAAGGAAGCATTGATAATATTTATTACTATTTCAAGAGTTGCTATTAGAATCAGACTTAGGATATGCAGAAGAAAAATGTTAGAACAGGTCATTGTTAAAATCACTTTTGATACACAAATCTTCAGAGCTAATCTGCTACCATCTTCAGATGATTCCTGCAGCCAAGGAGACTGAAATAAAAGAGAAATTAAATTAATAATTTTTTTTCAGATAGGGGGGAAGAAAAGTCTTGATTTTTAGATGCTTAATATCCAAGTCAGAATAAAAATAACCAAATATATCCAAGTCAGAAAAAAAAAAAACCACAACAAAAAAATAACCATAAACTCAGGTGTAGTATCCAGTTCCCTCTTGTGTGTAGGCAATACATGATAGATCTATTTTTCAGTCCCAACTTGATACTGTGGTTATTCTTTTATCAAATTTTTAGTTGCCCAATCCCCCAGCTGAAACCTTTGACACTACATACTTTGATATTTTGCATAGGCATAGGCTTGTGGGTGGTTATAACCCTGGGCTGACTCAGTAATGAAAAGTTGTAATTAAAAATTGTGAAATTTTTTAAAATTACGTGCTTTAAGCATATTTATTTTGGATAGATAGCATCATATTCTTATTTATTTTAAAGAATTTTGTTATTTCTTTTTCTGGAGAAATGTGAATAATCTAGATTTTGCATTTACACACGTTAAAAGGTACTTATTGTCATGGATAGAATGGTTACAAGATCTTGTTTTAAATTACTTCTAAAAATTGGTTGCTGCATTGTTGTTTAGTATAATTGTCTGCTCACCTAGCCTCTTCAGCTGAAAAGCCAGTTCAGTGCTTGAAAATTGCTTAATATGCTTCTCTTGTATGGATTGAGAAAAATGTTGAATAAACTGTTGCTTTGTTCTGTGTGTTCCTCCATGCTTTAATTTCAAATATCCAAAAAATGTTAGAGGGTGGGGTATACTAAGCACTGGTGATGAATAATGCAGGGTTTTAAGACCAAAGAGGTTGTTAATAGTTTTTCTGCATTTCTGCAGGCCTTTTGCTTATAGAATGGCTGTTTCAAGTGGGCCACTAATTATGAAGAATTCCATTTTCTCTGCACTTGTCTTGATAAGCAGCATGTACTCTTGATTATATCATAAGCCTTTTTTGCTTCTTTCTCTACCAGGAGAAACTTCAGATGGCGTCAGTAAATCTGTTCATCGGGTCTTTGCGTCCATGCTTGGGGAAAATGAAGAGGAGGAGGAGGACGAAGAGGAAGAGGAAGAAGAAGAAGAGGAAGAAGAAACTACTGAGCAACCCACAGCTGGAGATGTTTTTGTGTTAGAGATGGTACTTAATCGAGAGACCAAGAAAATGATGAAAGCAAGTATTTAAACTTCCATGTAACTTCCCTGTATCTCTTGAAGCATAGTGCATAAATGCCAGTTTGTGTGATTTTAGCTACTTGCTGAGAAACTTGCCTGAAAACAATTCCGGGTAGGATACTTCTGCTTACGTTGGTGTCGCCTGTCTTTGTTTTTTAAAAAATTACTGTAGATTACTGTTTGAAAACTTTCAAAAATAATGAAGTGAGTTTTTCCAGTGTCTGTATTGTGCTTGTATTAGATATCAGAGTTACTCTGTCAGTTATGAAAATTAGCAGATATTTTGGTCAGTCATTTTAATACCGCTAACACTTAAATAACTGTTATTAGGTTGTGTTAAGCGCAAGCGTGACTGATATCTCCTGAATTTGGGCACAACTGAATCCTTGGTAGAAATAATACCCCTTTTCCATTTAGGAGAAGAGACCTCGCAGCAAACTTCCTCGTGCCTTGAGGGGTTTGATGGGAGAGGCCAATATCAAGTTTGCTCGAGGAGAACGTGAGGAGGCTATTCTAATGTGCATGGAAATAATTCGACAAGGTATGTTAGAATCATAAAACTTTTTGGCTTTAAGGATGGGGTGAATGGGGTGAAATTGCCATGTGCATCAGGAAAATTCAGTGTGGCTTCACTGATGATGAAAATACTCAGTACAAGGAAAGTCACTGTATAAGTAGTGTGGAATTAAGAATATGTAGTGCATTTCCTTTGTTGTTTTGCTTATAAAAAGAAACTAGGACTCTAATTCTGCAGAGGCCTGGGCCTTTGCTTAGCTTTACACAGTTTGCTTTTATTGTCGTTGTAGAACCAAGATATAAACATCAGCATGACTTACAATGTAGAATAATGCTATAAATGGTGGTTGTTAGATTCAGTCAGGCTGTTTAATAATTTATAAAAAGGAATTGGAGGCTTGTCTGCAAGTTTTTTCTGAATTTAAACAGAGCAGTGTTGATACTTCATATAATTCTGATATCTGTTGTTTGCAGAAAGGCAAGTTATTTGTTGTCAAGGTGGTTTTAAAACAATAGTTCTTAATCATTCCTGTTGTCTTTCCACAGCTCCTCTTGCTCATGAGCCATTTTCCACTCTTGCCATGATCTATGAAGACCAGGGTGATATGGAGAAGTCATTGCAGTTTGAACTGATTGCAGCTCACTTAAATCCTAGTGATACCGAGGAATGGGTTAGGCTAGCAGAAATGTCACTGGAACAGGACAATATTAAACAGGCTGTTTTTTGCTACACAAAAGGTAGCGTAGCAACCATTTTAATAGTTTAAAATAAATGTTAGGTGCTAATGGCAATCATTTTGTTTTCTTGGGCTTTCTAATTTAGTTTGCTGCAGTTTGCTAGGATTCTGGTACCTCTGTCTGGACTTTGGTAAAAGATTAATGAATCTTTAATATAGGATGTCCTTTTCTCACAAAAACCTTGTGCGTGTCCGTTAACATTCATCTGGTCAGGGAAACGAATGTGAAATCATTGTTGCCTTTTCCTAAACTAGGCTAGTAATGTGCTTTTTCTTGTAGCTCTGAAATATGACCCAACCAATGTGCGTTATCTATGGGAGAGATCAAGCCTGTATGAACAGCTGGGGGAACATAAGATGGCTATGGATGGCTACAGGCGTATTTTGAATCTCCTGTCTCCCTCGGATGGAGAGCGCTTCATGCAGTTGGCTAGAGACATGGCAAAGTAAGTTGGATTTAAAAATATTGTGATTTGGTTTTCTGGAGTTTCTCAAAAGGTGGTATTAATAAGCTCTGCAGCTGATCCACGCTGGGTATGTAGCTGAAATCAAGGAATGCAGGTGTTTCTGCTGGGGGTGACCCCCACACAAGCATGCACCCCCCAACTACTGTGATGTTTCCAAAGCCTGACATGTGTGAATTATCCTGTGTAGGATCAATGCATCATCTTAGAAGTGTTACATTCTCTTAGAGTAAGACAATAAAATGCAAATACTGATTACTAGAAAAATGCCAATGGTGTACAATTATATACAAATGCAGTACATTTTTAATCTGTATAATATCACTAGAGACCTGAAAACTTGTTGCCAGCAAATCTGAATGAAACACAGTGTTCAGTCTGAAATACAAACCGTCTGCAAAAGAATATAGTTTATATGTCATTTGTGATTTTTTTCTGGAGCAAGTAGAAATCTGCCTCCTCCCCTTTCTGCTCATGAGAGCAGATCAAGTCATAGAAGCTTGCCTGAGGCAGGGAAGGCTTGTGGTTAAAGTGTGTAGCTTTCTTACCGTGGTTTTTAGTAAGTTGTTTAAATACTTTAGGCCAACTGTATGAG